TTAACTCAGCGTGGTGAATACGGGTGTTAGCCATCAACACTGTTTTTAGCAGCAGTGAAGTTTGATTTTAAACTTTCATGCTCCCAGTTGCATGTTTTGGTTTATGTATTTTAACACTCCATGTATTTAAGGTAGGTTTATAAGCCCTTACCTATATTTAAAATAATTTTATAAATTTTACTCTAACACCAAACTCATATTTTTAAGTTGAACTTCCGTAAAATGTTTTAAACAATCTGAAATGATACGTTAATATTTGGTTTATTTCATTGATTAAATTTCCATTTTTTCTATATTTTTAAATTTATTGTTTTATCATCTTACCTTTTTTTTATCGTTTAAGTTTATGCATCTAATTTGTGCATTTTATCATTCCTGCTTATGGAAATTTGTTGAAGTTATCACCTTAAATTTAAGTCAAGGAATTAATGGTTAAAACTTATGATGATCATTTTAATGTAATATATTTGTCCAAGAACTCTGTTAAGATACTCATTTTTCTCCCTAAAATCCCATATCATAGAATGTGAATTAATGTTATGATTCTTGCATTGACACAAAAATGTCTAACCATAGAAGGGTTTTCTCTTTCTAAGATTTTCATTAAGGTTAATTAATTCCAATATTCACTAGTTAGTCCCATTTATAATAATAATCAACCATAATCTCCATTGTCTTCTGAGTTATAAAACATTATGTATAATGTCTACTGAATTACAAAATTGCTATGTAAAGGTAAATTTTTTTCCATTATGTAAATGTAGTTAATCAGCAATGAAAAAGAATAAAAATATTAAGTTAAATATTTTTTTTAATAAATGCTTCTTTTTCTAAAGCGTCTTCTACGAGAAGAAGAAAATCATAATTTAATGATGGAAAAATATGTATCTCAAGAGAAGCTTGATAAAGCTGAAGCAGAATTTCAGGATTATGTTCAAAACGAAGATAAGGAAATAAAGATGCTGATCCATAAAAAGAAGCTTCTGAAGAGAAAACTTTCTGTAAGTTTTTGTAAAAGTATATGGCATTAGTTATAGAAATAATTCTTAACCTTAATTTAAGTTATGTATATATAATTTTTTTTTAAGTTTTAGAAATTGTTGCTTTGTTTTAGTAGCGTAACATAATGTTTTGCAATGTTTGTTCTCTCCAGTGTGTAAATATAGTTTAAAAAAAACCCTAGATTTTTCTTATAATTTCCCTACATTTTTTAAATTGCATAAGTTAAAAAGTTTTTAAAGCTATCAAATCTTGAAGTCATGTAAAGAAGTATATCTTGTGTATATGTGTTTTTGTCTACATAACATTGGTAATTTTTAGTTTTTATAAAAGTAAAATAATTTTTTTAAAAATTTACATATGTAAAGAAATTACAAATATAAAATATACTTAACTGGAATGTGTTGCACACCTGGCTCTCTGTATTGTATGTTAGTAACAGGAAGACTCAGGAGACCTGAGAAAGACAAATAACTTTTATTTAACATAGGTATTCATCTAGACAGTAGAAGTAAAAAAATTATTTATAAACACATACTATGTTCAGTTACAATACATCAACAGATGGCTAGGATGGAACAATAGTAACAAGTTTGGTTAAGCAGGTGATAATAAACGTGATTAGCATCCTGTATCTGTTCCTGTATCTGTTTCATGGACAACATTTTGAATTCGACAATACGTATCACACTCTGTCGCTCCACATCAGATACATAGCCAGACACATACAGCTTATTGACAGATCATCACATGCAGTAGCATTCCCCTAAAAACAATAGAAGTTATGTGACAATAGCCATGCCCAGCACAAGCTGCAAAGCAACTGTGTGGATGTAGTATGTAGAGCAGATGATTTGAACAAGTCAACAAGTGAACAGGAATGTAAGTAGTGAACGGGTATCGACCACCTTTTCATATTTATCCAATGAACCTATTTACACAAATTTTATGCCAACAGCTAATTACTTAACAGTAATTATTAAAGTACTAAATACAATAACTATATGCAAATATCCTACTCACTACAATTATTTCAAAAAGATATATACTAATTCTCTACCGCTGATGCACATTCCGACCACACTGACCCTGACAATCTTCACTCAACTAAAATGACCATCGGAGATAAGAAAAATACCTCAATACAGCTCAAAAGAAGTAATTTTCAGAAAAATAAAATTTCAGAAAAAAATTTTAAAAAATTTGGAATATTAATGGGACTAGTAGATTTAGTTTTTGGCTGTAGTAGATTTTATTATTTTACATGTATCATGTATTACACAAAATTTACCATACAAATTATCTTATTTGGCTCATGGGATTTAACATTTGAATAATTAAGGGGCAGTATTAGGGTTTTGTTATAGCTCAAAACGGAGCGTGTTTGTCTTCATGCATCTTGTGAAAGATTTGCTTTTACAGTTGTGGACTTGTGAAAGCAAATACAATAACAGGACAAGAGGTAGTATTATGAGTATTGGCTACAAAATCTTGTCCCTTATCTTTCAATTTGTTTTGTATCCTTCCAGATTCACTGAGTTCTTTCTCCACATTTGAAGCAGTAAATTCTCATCTAGTCTAATGAGTTTAAACTTGCTTATCATAATCTACTGGCAACCTTCTAGTTAATTGAAAACTTGAGCTTTTCATGTCCAGTATCTTTTATTTGCTTCTTTTTCTCTTTAACTAGCTTACAAAATATCCAAATCGTCTCCTTATCTGGATCAAACTTGAGTTAAAAAATAATTCATCAATAAGTCTGGCTAATTGTACTTGTGAGTTTGGTTTGAAGTTCTCTTCAGACCAGTTTATGCTGTTTTTCCTTTTGTGTCAAATATCCTTTGTTTGTGTCAAGTATCAATGGCTGAAAATAATCGAAATTCCTCAAAAAATTTTGCTGTAATTTTTGTGCTTTCTGTATTTCATATGAGTTTTTATCTCCATCCTTTGCATTGGTTTGTAATGACTGTTCTTAAAGCTTTTTAGATTTAGAAATCACAATATGGAATTTTCGTCATTTTCAGTCAACTTCATCATTCTATTTAAACCGTCCTAGTAGAGTAATAGCAAATCTCGCTTCGAACAAAATTAAATAATTAGAAAAAAGCTTATCATGGAAGGACAGGAATAGGCCATAACCGTGATGACAGGCTTTACAAGGTAGTGACAAATGCCAAGAAAGCTAAAATCAGGGCCCGACTTAGCCTAATTGGGGCCCCAGGACGAAAACTTCTTTTGGGGCCCCTCTGCTTCACTACTTCAGTAATTAGGAACTGAACTCATAGAGGTATTTTAATTTTTCACCTCATTCTACATATATAACAAAAAAATTGACTAGAACCTATAATAGCTATTAAGTGCCCCCATATTGTTCTATCCATTTTATTGTTTTTCTGACAATTCTATGTCCATCATGTGAAGGCAGTTTCCATAATGCAGATTTCTGATTGTTAACTTTGTCATCTAGCTGCGAAAAATTTATATCCTTGCTGAGATTAATGCGAAATTCAGCTAAATTTTCGCAATTTCGATAGGTCAATTAAGCCTATCAGAAGCCTGTATTTTTATAAACATATCGCATTTTGTGATATGTTAAAATACAGGCTTTTGATTGGTCAAATTTGTCCATCGTAATTGCTAAAATTTAGCTGAATACCGCCCTAGAAAGCCATGAAATTACAAAATATTGCTTTTTTGTGTTCATACGATAGATCAATGAAGAAGCTAACATAAAACTGGCGGATTTTACACTACACTGATATTTTGTTTAAAAAAATTTCAATGAAGAAGGAAACGTAAAATAAACTTTCTATTTGATTTGGAGGCCCCCTCTGATGTGGGGGCCCGGGGCAACCACCCCGTATGCCCCTGCCTTTGTTAGGCTCGGGCTAAAATGCAAAGACATAGTTGAATTTACAGTTATGTAGTAGGCTAATACAGTAGCTAATACATACATGATAATAGTTATAGATATAATATACTTTTATATCTATAATTATTATAAGTTATTAAAGTTATTATACATGCACACATAATAGTGATGATAGTTATAGATACAATATATATACCTGAATGCATAATAATTTAAATTAGCTAGCGGTATTTCAAACACATTTAAAATATGAGAAATTAAAAAACAACACTCATAATTGATATTTAATTTATTTTTAATGTCCAAAATAATTTTTAAAATAAAGAAGTGTCAGGCTAGGGAAAAGAAAAAAACCCCTCCATTTTAACAAAATATATTAAAAACTTAAACCATCCCTTGGGTGTCTTTCGTATTTTTCCCTGTTTCAATGTTCTTTTTTTCCCTGTGTCACCATTCCTCTTTCTTGAATCTGTCCTTTGAACTCGTGGACACTCATTTTTTTCTTCTTTCTCCAATAAAATTATCCAGTTATTGCTATAGTAATAATTTTTCATTCACTAATTAAAGAAATTTAGCAGATTGTATACTTAGCAATACTTTTTGATGTATTAAAATGCTTTTAATATTTATTAGGCAAAAATGGATCTGTGTGCAAAAGAGGATGCCGAGGGGAAAGAAGATATAAAAGAAATGAAAGAAAAGATGGAAAAATATAAAGAAATAGAAGCTAAATCTAAACTTGAAATTGCAGAGTTAGAAAAGGAATTAGCTATTTCTGAGAAAAAGTATTTATTTTTTTATAATTTCATTATTGTGTATCTTACTCTTTTCATATCTGCGAAAATCTTTTACTTTATTCTAGTAGTTAACCTATTTCATTTGTCAATGATACCTTTAATAACTTTTAATTAATTAATACAGTTTCAAATTTTTTTTTTAAATAAGGTGTGTGGTTGTTTCTTGCCTTTATTTAAAAGAAATTTTTCTTTAGTGTATTTTTTAGGAAGTTTTTTTTCCTCTCTTCTCTCACCTTCAAAAACACATGCTAAGAGGTGGAAATTTGTAGAAATTGTCGCATTTTCAATAATAAAGAAGGTTAAATTTTTATGTCTAGTCCATATTGAAATGGCCAACTTTAAGCTCATATTTTTGAGGAAAACTAAATATATATTCCTCAGCGTACTCTTGGTGTTTTTGAAAGGAAAATCCTTAGAAATATTTTTGGCCCAGTACAGGAAAGAGGCTGTTGGCGAATCAGATACAACTTTGAATTATATAGACTCCATGGACAGCCACAAATAGTGCAGGTCATTGAAGCAATAGATTAAGATGGCTTGGCCATGTCTGGAGAGGTCCAGAAAACAATACAGTACGAATTGCCACCTTTGAAAATCCTTCTGGATCTCGGGGCAGAGAAAGACCTCCAACTAGATGGCTGGATGACACTACTAAAGATCTCAAAGTAATAAAGATTAACAACTGGAAAAAAGTCGCCATGGATAGGAGGAGTTGGAGGCTACGCGTGGTTGAGGCAGCCAAGGCCTGTAAGGGGCTGTCGTGCTGAAGGAAAAGAAATATATATTAAAAATTTTTTCTTGTTGTTGAACTCCTTTATTAGTCTTTAAGTAATTTTAGAGCAAGTTATTTTGCAATTTGAAAACTTTTATTTTGAAATCATAATTTAATGCAAAAATTTTTCTTCATCAGAGAAGTAAAATTGAAAATGACTATGAAAAATGAACGTAAGTAAAATATCAACAATTAAACGCATAAAAATATCTGTTTTACAAATGAGAACCATTAAAAAAGGGACAAACGAAAATTGTCTTTGAGCACCAATAATCTGTTATGCTAAACAAATTCTTTATTCTTCATCCAGTTTGTGATTTTGATGCTGAAAACCTCAGTTTAGAGACTAAATCATTTGTCAGAATTAAATAAACTTGGTCTTAACTGGATAAAGACATGTTAGGGTTATCAATGACATGCTATAGTGCGGCCAAATACCTAGAAATTGTAAAGTAAGTTACAAAAACTTAATGGGCAGAATATATCTGATCATGCGAAAGAGTTTCGAGGGAAATTCAGGTAGCCCCTGTGAAATTTTTGATCTAAATTATAATAAAGAAAAAATGTTAAAATTTTTTTGTTATACAAATGTGACACTTAGAAAAATTTTCTTTGGAAAAAAAAAATTAAAAACTGACTGAAATCAAATCAAATCAAGTAAAAAAAAAATTCTTGATATTTTCAAGCTAATATTACAATTTGGAAATACCACTGATTTTAGTAATCAGTCCTTGGAGCTCTCAATCGGCACTGACAACATCATAAACCATGCTGAGTTTCTGTTGTTTTTTTTGCAGATATTATTTTGACTTTCTCTCTGTTTTTTTTTTTAAATTTTTAAATCTTAATGTTTTTGCTTTTGTTAATGTTTTTAATGTTTATTACGGCACTTGAAATTTAAATTCCACATTTGATCAGTGATGTGAAGATTCCATCATTTTTTAGAGGATTTTACAATATTGCCATTCATTCCAAGTGATTTGTTTTTATAAAAATGTTATTGTTATACAGGTCGTGAGTCTGAAATCCACATAGTTTTGATGTTAGTCTTTTTCTCGGTAGTCATTGTCATATTGCCACAGATATCACAATTTTTACTTTTTTTTTCAGACTGTAAAGATAATGTCACACATAATATATATATGAATGTGTGTGTTTCAGTGAGAAAAAACAAGCATTTTTTCTTTCTTCCTTTAAATTTGATGAATGTTATTATTGTGTATAAAAATGATAGTCTATTATTTAATATTTTTTCATTGAAATGAACAGAAATAATCTTCTCTGTATGAAAAAGAAATATAGTATTAAAAAAACTAAAATTTTTTCTTTTCATTTGAAAGCAAAACTATCTAACCATTTAATTAAAATTTTTTTTCCAATTAATATCCTGTTCCACCAGTCACATTTCTGCACAATCAGAATGTTTAGTTCAACAGATTGTTCAATTAGGTATTTATTTCATGCCGTGAACCTTTAATTCATAAACCTGCAAACTTTCTTAAAAAGTCTCTTCCCTGGTGAAAAATATAATTTTACTAGGTTTCCCTCAGCATTACCATTTAAAAGAATGTAAAGCATCTAAGGACTTTGATAGTATACATAAGAAGAAGCAATGCCATTTATAGAGATGATTAAAAGCATTTATTTAAAAAAAAAAAAAACATTGCAGCCTAACTATTTCTGGGTTTTCTTTCTCAACCAAAACAAATGGGACTACTTGAATTCCAGACTATTGTGATATATATTTGCTAAATTAAAAATGTAGTATTTGTTCAAATAAAGCTTATGAAATATAGGGAAGTAAGTCACCATTTAAATATTAAAATATACATTTTTAAAGTTTATTTTAACATATTTTTTAATTCCTCATACTTTATCAACTTGCTGTCTGAAAAGAAAAAGAATATTTTCTGTTATGTTAAATATAATACAAATAACTTAATATCTCAATTTGTTTATTTACTAGTTTCTACTTATGCAGCTTATGAGTGGGACCTTAAATTTAATTTCATAAATTGTTACTATTTAAATTAGTTTCAATTTCTATTATTTTTAACACTACTAGTTTATTCAATAATTGTGTGAAATCAAATGATTCTTTTTCTTCGTTAAAGAAAAATAATTATGTTAAAATATTAATTAATATTTTAACAGTATGCAAACTTTACTCCCGAAAAATATTGTAATAAAAAAAAGCACTATAATTTTTGGGAAAATTTCAAATAAAAAAAAATGTGCTTTAGGGAAATATTAGGTTCTGAAAATTTTCTACACATCTGCCTATACATTTAATCATTAAAACTGCATCCAAAAATTGTTATATATATATTTTTTAAATGCCATAAGTTGCTGTGTTCTTATCATAGTTAATGTTTCTAAAACAACACTTAGCTTCATTGCTTATTTTCAAGCAAATGGCAAATAAAAGTTTAAAGAAGTTTATAGCAATTGTAAATTTTTGTATTGCAGATTTTTCTCAATAATTAATTTAAATTTTTTACTTGAAATCTTAAGCAAGAAAAAAATTTAAGTGTTTTAAATACAGTTATAAACATTTATTGTGAAAAGCAGTTGTCTAAAAATAAAATGTTTTGGGAAAAAGAAGAGAAAGAAGTTAATTTTATTTAATGCAAGTTAAAGAGAAATGACAAGGAAAAACGATTTATAAAATAACAGAACCAACAGACTTACTGAATAAAATTTTTTATTATATAATTATTGCTTGCAAATTTTTTTTGCCATTATAATTACAGTGGAGCATCGTTTATATGACGTTTACATTTATACGACGTCTTAGTTTGGTCCCAAATCATTCCTATTCATTTGAATGTAAAAATATATCGTTTATATGACGGGCAGAATCGGTTATACGTCGGTTTCTAGATTTCCCCCCACATTTATTTAATTTTTTTGTGTGTGTATTTTAAGAACGGGCGGAATTTGCGAACATGAATGACACAGAAAAGGGCATGTGTAAATGCAGCATGTGATAACAATGCGGAGTGGTGGGGTGGGGTGGAAGAACAAAGGTATAACGGATTGCACTGGGAGTGGACATTCCTTTTCTAAGAAGGTGATCAGATTCCCCAACCTGCTTTATTGTTACAGCTAGTAAAGGACATTCTTTCCTTATCAGTGCACTAGTGCTACAGATTGTTCTTTTTTTTTCTCCATTCTTCGCTGTTCGTGCTGTTTCGTCCACATCTTTTTTCAGACATGTCTCGAAAGCGTAAGTCTATCTCGGTGAAAGAAAATATTGAAATTTTGAAGGAATTCGATAAAGGTTTACCGGGAAGATCAAAAGCTGACTTGGCTAAAATGATGGGCATTCCAGTTTCTATCTTAAAAACTATTATTCATGATCGTCTGAAAATTGAGGAACATGCTAAAGTCTGCAGATCTTCTTCATCAAAGAAAATGCGAGTGCAGGAGGGTAAATTTCCTGAAAAGGAGAAGATTTTGCTCCAATTTTTCAATCAGTGTCGTGCGTCAAATATTCCAGTTAGTGGTCCAATGTTGATGGAAAAAGCTAAAGAAATCGCCATAAAATTGAATCTCACAGATAGCGGCTTTACAGCAGGATGGTTGCAGAAATTCAAAGCTATGGTTGCAGAAATTCAAAGCTCGGAACTGGATCACGTGTCAAGTTGTAAATGGTGAATCAAGAAAGGTTCCTGCTGATTCTGTCGCAGAATGGCGCGAAAATTTGCCAGGCATAAAAAGTGAGTACCTACCTAAAGATATTTTTAATGCCGACGAGACAGGTCTTTTTTATCATCTAATGCCGAATCAGACATTAGTTTATAAAGGCGAAAACTGTAAGGGAGGAAAAAAGAGCAAAAATCGTCTTACTGTGCTGCTTTGTGCAAACTCTGATGGAAGTGAAAAGAGTACTCCTTTGGTGATAGGAAAATCAAAAAATCCCAGATGTCTAAAGAATATCAGAACGCTTCCGCTGGATTATGATGCAAATAAGAATGCTTGGATGACGACCGTAATCTTTACTAAATGGCTGAAAAAGCTAGACAATGCTATGAGGAGGAAAAAACGAAAAATTTTGTTATTCATCGACCAATGTCCAGCTCACCCACCCGATACAAATTTTTTGGAAAATTTAAAAGTTCACTTTTTTTCCTGCAAACTGCACAAGTGTGCTTAAGCCATTAGATTTGGGCGTGATTAAGAATCTAAAATTGCAGTATAGAAAGCAGTTAGTTCAATTCGCTTTTCAAAGCATTGCAGAGCCTAATCCCTAGAAAATAACTGTTCTGCAGGCAATGAATATGATTTTGTTGCCATGGTCTCAGGTAACAACCACAACAATAAATAACTGTTTTAAAAAAGCTGGATTTGTCCATCGAACAACCAATGATAATGGGGGAGAGGATGTAAGCGATGATGATACAATAATCTATGATGATGATTAGAACTTGCTCGCAACAGAGACAACTTTTGATGAATACATGGATTGCGATGAAGATGTAGTAACGTCAGCGATTTTCACTGTTGATGAGCTTATACAGAGCACACAGTCCGAGCCACATAGTGACAGTGAGGATGACGAGGAATGTTAACAAGTTGTTCCGCCTACTTTTCAAGATGCAATGAATTCCATTGAAACACTAAGAACTTATATTCTTTACCACAATACCAGCGAAAACACTTTTCAGGACCTTGATTCATTGCACAGGTCATTAATTTAAGCTCAGCGTCAATCATCACATCAAACAACCATAGATAATTTTTTCTGTAAACTTAACGTGAAATGATTAAAGTAAAAAAAACAAATTTGGTGTATCAAATAAATAAAGGTAACGTAAATTCAAATTGCTTACTGTAATTTTTATTCTTTTTTTTCTATGGGTATCTGTTTGTTTCGCTTTGTCCAATTTAGAAATTTATGTAAATCAACACATTAAACATTAAAACTAACTGAAAACAGAGTTAGTTTCTAGTTTTGGAAGTTGAAATCGTTATCGTTTATACGACGTTTTTCGGTGGTCCCTTCAGCGTCATATAAACGATGCTCCACTGTATTTTGATTTATAAAAGAGAAATTAACAAGAATGTATTTTATGTTTGATTTTAATGTGATCATATTTAAGAAATCTGTGAAGAAAACTCATGCAATATTCCATACTTTCCAGAAAAATTAAACGATTAAGGTTATAACACTAATTGTTTTATGATGGTAGCCATCTATTTTTTAAAAAAAAATTTGCTTATAGTTAACATCGTAGTCCTCCTTAACAATATACTTAATTAACCACTACTATCTCATTATTATTAAACAGATTCTATTTTTTGACTATGATATTTTGCCTATGATATTTTTCTACTAATATATAAAATATGATATATTAAATAAAATTGACAACTGTTCATTTTTCTTCTGGTGGTTCCTCCCTTAGGAAGTAGCCTTCAAGTTTTTCTTTGTTAGGATATAATATTCTCTCAAATTTGCCAATTTATGTAGCTGCTTAAGGATTGAATTAGTTTGAGACAATATTTAGTTTAAATAGTGTTGAACATTTCTAATATATTCCTCTGAGATTGAATACATAAAAAAATTTCTCCTGACTGAATGGCATTAAGAGTTTTCTGTGCATCTATCTGTACAATTAATTGCTAAAACTGCTGAACTGGAATGTCTTTTTTTAAATTGCCATAAGTTACTGTGTTCTTATCTTTCCTTCTCTTAGTCAGTGTTTCTAAAACAATGCTTTATGCAATATGATAGCAAGGAAAAGTTTATAGCAATTGTTAATTTTAAATTGTAGATTTTGTCTCAATAATTAATTTACATTTAGGAATTAGAAATTAAAAAATTAGCAGTGTTTTAAAAGAAATTATAAAATTTTGAAGAAGCAATTGACTAAAAATGAAATGTTTTCGGAAAAGGAAGGGATGGCAACTTATGTTGACTAATGCACGATGAAGAAATATAAAAAGGAAAAAAAATTATAAAACAACAGAACTAACAAAACTTGTAGAATAATATTTCTTTGTTGTTAATTGTTTATTTTATAATCTTTTTATTTTATAATTTATTATTTAATTGTTTTTACAAAAGAGAAATTATTAAGAATTTATTTTATTTTAGGTTTTTATTTGATCATATTTAAAAATTCTCATTAGACTCATTATTATCAAATAATATATAATTTCGAGAAAAATTGTTGAGTAGAAGGAATTAAATGATAAGTGCACACAAATGATAAATGTACTTTAAAATAAAATAAATTATTGTATTTCTAATAAATATAAAAGAAATGTGTTTCACAGGGAAATAGGAAAAAAAATCATATAATACATTTGTCATCTTTTAAAAAAGGAACAGGAAGTGTCTTTTCTTACAAAACTTTTTTTATAGTCTTAATTTTCTTAGTATTTTGGTGAAATGTTAAAATAAATAAGTTATATAAACTGTTATGATACTAAATAAGTGTTCTTAAATTTTATGATTGTTTTAAAATATTTTTTCGCAGATTCTATTTTACTTTAAATTCTCATTTCATGAACTTATTATTTCCTAGCCGATAAGTTAAAAATATCTAATTTTGGGACACATTTCCTGAAAGGACCCAGCTTTTCGATGAGGCCTAGTTTCTTAGGACTCAGTGAAAATTGTGCAGTTATTTGGTTTTTAAAAAAGGAATAATTGCACACCAGGTTCTGAAAGTAGTATAAAAACAGTTATAAGTTTTGATCCTAGCTAAGAGTGGACTCCTTAAATCATGCTATATTAATGTATTTTTGTTTTTTACTTGGGGGCATATTTCTGTAATGGGTAAGATATTGAACATATAGTGAGTAAAATGATAAAAAAAACATTTTATCCTAAATATTTTTTGACAAAAAGAAAAAAATTGAGATTTTTTATATTTTTGGCATTTTTGTAGAATAAGCTACACTTTTGGAAAAAATTTCAAATTTTTTTTTTCCAGCTTTCTGAAATTCTAATTTATGGGAAAATTTTCGTTTCTGAATTTTTTAAAAATTCCATTAGCTAGGGAAAGAAAATATTTGTCAAGCCATTTTTCCCGAAATCTATCGTGAAGCACTAACATTGATTTTTCAATTGCATGGCTGTATACTAGTTGGTTAGTTGTAATAACAAGACTAACTTTTTCTAACTAAACATAAACTGTTTGCCAGAAATATAGTAGTCATAATATTTACGATTCATTCCACAAATAGTTTAGTCAAATGATCTCCTAAAAGTTTGGGCGTAGCCCTTAACATCAAAACCAAGTTGCACTACATATGTTTGCAGACATTCAAAATGTTATAAAAGCAGAAACAGTTACTAGAGCCATTGGCTATTTATTGTTTTGAAGGTTAGATATATTTACATTATTTGTATCAAAATAGTGGCTCTTGCCCATAGTTTTGATATGATGTGTCTTTGTAAACTTTCCTCTTTTTTGCAGCAGCTTAATTTTTTGTGCAGCTTCTCTAGATAATATACTACTGCTCGTATTCGGTACAGTATAGTTAATTCCAACTCCACAATATTACAGTTTCCAATTCAAAATCTTGCTCATTCATAGAATTAATTTTAATAAAGAATATTTTTTAAAAGTTTACCCACTTTGATTCTAAAGACTAATTCTTTATTCAGTTTCAACATATTTTTTTAAAACATGTTTTTTAATTGTTTAAGAAATAAAGATTAAATTCTGAAATTGAGTTTCTTAGACTATACTAATGATTTTTTCTTACTTCCTATACTTATATGTTTTTCATTGAATATATTCGTTTTATAGAGTAGAAGAAGAAAAAGAAAAATGGAGACTTCAACCATTCGAAAATCCTGTAGGAGAACCATTTGAAGGGCCATGCGGAATTTGTCGAGATTTATATAACGATAGAAAAGGTTCCAGAATTATGTTGGCTAAAGTGAAAGAAGGAAATCTAGCTATAAAGCAGCAAGTATTTGATTCAGCTGTAAAATTAAAAGATAATGCCTGTGATATTGCTCATCTTTCATACGAGGTAAAATTATTCATGGGTAATTTTATGAAATTAGGCTGAAATGATGTAAATGAAGGATATTTAATTTTTTTTCTTAAAGGAAAACGAATAAGTTATTTGTTCAATGTATAGCTAGAAAATGTTTTTATTACATTAACTTAAAAGTTTAAAGAATTATTCAAAATAACTATTTTTTTTAAAATTAATTTTTGAACCTATAAAATCTCATTCCCTCATTTGCAACTTTTGCCACCTACAAATACAAAAAACAGAATTTCTCACTGAAATACTTATTTTTTAACAGGAACTTATTTTTTAAAATTAACACTATGTATTAAGTTAATTTTTATGTCTTGAAAAGAATATTTTATTTAACAAAAACGTTTGAAACTGACCATTCATAATCATTCCTTGCTCATAACGATTCAGAGTGTTTCAGATCAATGGCATTATTATTTGGTTAAAAACATTGCACATATTCTAAGAACATGTTCTGATAAATAATGATGGATAAATAATAATGACAAATTTCAGTAAGTTAGGAGAAGTTCTTCAGCATGCAAAATGAAACTGAATAAGTGTTAAAATGACACTTTCATTCCCACCTTTAAATTTATAAAGTTAATTTATTTCCTAAAAATGTATTAATAAGTGTATTTTTAAGGAATACTTATTGTTATTTTAATTTTATTTATGGAAATATACTTCAGAAGCAAATAATGTCCATTTTCTCATTCCCTCATTTATCATTTCCTGATTTTTAGAGAATGGCACTTTTATAATTTATGAAGTTAATTTAGTATCTAAAAATGCATTAATAAGTTCTAACTTCTTCTTTTGGGATATTTGAAAAATATATATTGTTAATGTTAATTTTATTAATTGGTATATATTTTAGAAGCAAATATTTTCTCATTTCCTTGCTAAGAAAGTTATGCCTTTGCAAGAGATTGATTCTTTTTTTTTTTGTTAAAAACTTTCTTGTTAAGACTTGTTAAAAACTTTCACCTTGTTATTTTTTAAAACAGTTAAGGACTGACAAACAAATATATTCATTGAAATTATTATTTTAAACACGTTTATAATTAAAATTATTATTCCTGCATATGTTATTTTCACTCTTAAATAAAAACTTATAATAATTTTAGTACTTTTTAAGTAATGAAAGAGACTGCTATGTTTTTCTTGTCTTATATCTTCTCCTGTATCTTATTACAAAATATTAGAAATGTCTGACTCATTTTTTTTTGTTCTCAATATTATACATATATTTTTAAATATTTATCATACAAAGACCCTAATTCTTATCATATTTATTGTCTTAGGATGAGATTAAAAGTTTTTAGTGTGTTATTGTCTTTCCTAAGAATATTTCTTGCCATCTCATAATAATTAAAAATACCGTATAAGTCTTTAAAATTTAAAGTATAATACTACTTTGTATTTTGCAAAATAAACTTTCTGTTTCATATTAAGGCATTCTTCACTCATTATAACACCATTTTGTTAAAAAGAGAATTAAACTTTTAAGCTCGCGTTTAGACTTCTTTTCTTTCAGTTCTGAATCTCTTCTGCAATCTTGTTGTATTTTTAATCGTACTGTCATTGGCACAGTGAGTGCTAAACTTAATAAAAGCCAAGTGCTTCTCTTTTACCTATATTTTGCATTAACGTATTTTCCACCTAATATTTACTTATTTATTGTTAAAGAATAGGCGAAATGTTATTAAATAATCGTAGACATTTTTGTTAGGAGAAGTATCACTTTCAAATTACTTTAGAATACAAACTTTTTAACATTTAAAAAATATTTATCTTTAATTTGTAATAATAAAAAATGGTGACCTGCAAATTTAAACTTTTGAAAAAAATATGACTTTTCATATACTTCCTACAAAATTTTTTCCTACTTTGTTCATCTAGTTTTTTTTTAAATACATTATTAGATGATGGCTTAGGTATTTAAAAAAGAAACATCTTTTTTAATTTTTCAACTCAAGTGCGTCATTATTAACTGTTTCAAACTTTAATTCTGAAGTGTGTTATGAAAGCAAAAAACTAAAGAAAAGAAATTTGTAAAATTTTCTGTAAAACTATTAGTTTCTTTCTTTTCCTAGAGTTTTAGCTAAAAAATAAATTCGTATTATCAAACGTTTTTAAAAGATCTAATTGAATAAAGATCAAAGATAAATTTATTTTAAATTAAAGATTGAGTTATAGGCAATTTAATTATTTCAGGACATGTAAATTACTTTAGAATAATAATGAAACTAATCCTTTTAATGAACTTCAAGAGATAGGACAAAACGTATTGTTAATAATATGAGTGTTTGTTTCAGTTTTTTCTGAGCTTTGACCTGCAGCTTTTGCTGCTTCAGAAGATCTGTTTCTTCCATGTTATTCAACGGGATAGCATTGTGGAGCAGGGTGATTTCAGTGCAATTTCGCTCAGGGGCTCAATGCTTAGAGGGTAAGGGGCCTTCATACCGACTGCAACAAATCACGTGTTGCCATGCATTCACACTTCTTTCTTTCTACCTTTGTTGCAACAATCAGCGATTATCATTGCTCTGGTTTCAAGAATTGGATAGAGTTCAATTTTTGTTGTTGTTGCAGATCAGAAACTCAATCCGATTCATTTACATTTCTATTATCAAAGGGAGAATATGGTGAAATCTCACACAATTTTAGCGTTTGCGTCCTTCAGAACATAGTAACTTATTTTTATGTAAAATATTTGGCTATATTTGAAAGATATTTTTTGACATGTACCGTCGGCAAAACAAAAGATATCATCCTGAATAACTTTTATTTTAATAATCGGATTTTCACTCACTAAGTGTCAGTTTTAATATTTCCTGGGGGTAACCTCAAATATGCTAATTAATTAGTGCTAAATATTAATTAAGTTATGAAATTAGACACAAAAAGGTCCTTTCTCTGAATAAACATATATTTTTTTTTACATATTTGGAATCCTGGCCCTTGACGAAATTTCGAAAAAAATTGGGTCGCAGTAAAGATTTATATACATAGCGAAAGTTTAAAAAAATGCCAAATTACCTCGCCGCAGAAGGTGAAACAATTGGAAGCAGCCATAAAGAAACTGAATGAATGACAAGAATGCAAAACTCTTGTTTTTCCGTTGCTAAGCAACCAAGAGAAGAATTTTAGGGCCCGCTTTCTAGGCGAAGGAAACAGATATATTTTTTTTTTTACTTTTAAAAAAAAATTTGGCAGGTATGAAGTGTTGCTAAAAAGATTAAAAAGCTGTATTTTTTAATTAATTACATACTTTTTCATGAAGAAACAATTTTCAGTTTTATTTGCCATTATTTAAAAGCAATTATATTTAAAAATTAAAATTTTGGTTTATTGGAAAAGAATTTTGAAAAACACTATTATGCTTTAAAAAAAATGCAAAGCAAATAACTTTTAAAAAAAGGCAATAAACTTTTTTATTTTGCTGAAGCTGTAGGTAATTATAATTGTAAAAATGTATTTTCAATTTAATTAGTACCATAAATGGAAAATTATTACAAAAACTAAAATTTTGAATGAAAAGTTTTAGCAATAATTTGTATAAATTCTGATATTATAGTTTGTATAAATTCTGAATAATACAGGGATGTGATTCTTCCGCGGATCCGCTGATTTCCGCTTTTTTCAGATTTTTCCATATCTTCCGCTCTTTTTTCATAAATTTCCGCGCGGAAAAAATTTTTATGCAGTAAATGATATTTTGTTGAAAATTTTTTTCTTTTGTTGAAAATCAATTCCCATTCACGCAATTTAAAAATTTAATATCGCGATTTGTATTTAAGCGTTTTTAAAACCCAATATCGCGATTTGTATTTAAACGTTTTTAAAACCCAATATCGCGATTCATATTCCCGCTAGTTTAAAATCCAATGTCGCGATTCGTATTCATATATATTTTTAAATTTCAATATTGCAATTCGTTATCACGCGGTTGTAATATCAAACATCGATTTTCGTATTTATACGCGGTTTAAACATTACTCGTTGCGATAAGTATTCACGGACTCTAAAAATTATGCATCGTGATTCTTATTTACGCGATTTAAAAATTCAATACCGCGATTTGTATTTTTGTGCTTTTAAAATCCAATATCGTGATTCTTATTCACGTGATTTTAAAATTCAATATCGTGATTCTTATTCACGCTATTTTAAAATTGAACATCGCGATTCTTATTCAAGCGATTTTAAAATCCAACATGGCGATTCTTATTCACCCTATTTTAAAATCGAACATCGCGATTCTTATTCACGCACTCTTAAAATCCAACATCGCGATTCTTATTCACACACTCTTAAAATCCAACATCGTGATTCTTATTCACCCTATTTTAAAATCGAAAATCGCGATTCTTATTCACGCAATCTTAAAATCCAACATCGCGATTTTAAAATCTGATATCGCCTTATTCACGCGATTTTAAAATCCGGCATCGCGATTCTTTTTCACGCGATTTTAAAATCAAGCATCGCGATTCTTATTCACGCGATTTTGAAATCCATCATCGCGATTCTTAACCTAAGGCCTCTAAAAATTGTGTGAGAAATGATCTTTCTTGTCCTATCAACACTGATGATCAAAAGTCTGCAAAACGCAGTCTACAGATCAGTCATGTTAATAAAAGACCATCGAAAAAATAAAGAACTGATGAGAAAGTCCATAAAGGTCCTTTGACCATTAAAGAAATGTTTTTTGAAATGATGTGATACATAAAATCGTGCTTATGCATAATTACTCAAAGTTATCTAAATTATTAAAAAAAAAATTTTTTAATCAAGATTTTATTTAAGAACATAATTACCATTTATTTATATTTATTTGAATAGATAATAATGTAATCATTATCAAATTGGCTATTGAATTCATATCATTTTTTCTTTTGCACGCTTAATGCTACAGTTATAAACTTCCTCTTTTTTGTGTTTTTGTCAATCACATCCCTGATAATATAAAAATTATAAATTTAAAAAAAAATATTTTTTTTCAATTTTGTACAAATAGAATATTTTGTCAATACTAGAGTGATGGACAAAATCAGGTCCTTAAGGTTTCTTTCCTTCTTTCTTTTCAAGTTACTTCATAAACAGAACTGCTTAAATTTTTATTTGCAGGATAAATCAGATCTTTAGGTTTTATTTTTTTACATTAAAAATAAAAATTTTTTAATGTAAAAAATATATATTTTTGAGTATACATTTGTTATTTTATTGAAGTATGCAAAAATGTTGATCGGATAAAACTGGTTATTTATCAAAATGAGGAGAACAAATTGCTTTTTTCCTACTAAAATATTTTTTATAGCAACAAATTAATATTATGATTTACCTACACTGTGAAACTTTCGAGAGTTTAAAAAAGCAAGGAAGATTAGGAATAGTTTTGGAATTTATCAAATATTAATTTGACAAATCAGATTTAAGAATAGAAACAAATAAAATTTTTATTATAAGGCTTCATGTGCCTATTGTTGATAGTTGAGATTCTGTAACCAATCTTCCTGGGATTTTGACTCCTCCGAGTGTTGCTGATTATAGCTGCCAGTAGTCATCATTTAGTAGGAAAGAGACATTACATATTTAAAACGTGATGTTATACTCTCTTTTTCTTTTCTTTTTTTTTTTTTTACAATTTTTAACAAAAGTTATTTTTAAGAAAGTGAGGCTTAAATCTAAAAAAAAAGAGAAAACAGCCACGCAATCCTATACCTCTCGTAAAGTAATATCTAATGGTCATGGATTAAAGAGTCCCAAAATAATAAGAGGTACCCATTTTAAAATTCATAGTGAAGGTTGTGCAACACTTGGAAATTCTGTAGTGTGAAATATTTATCACATAAATTCCTATCAACTTGCAAATGTAAGAAAAAAAAAACTATATTGAGGTATTTGTATATGGAAATAAAATTCATTTTATCACTTCCACTTCCATGAAAAATATAAAATTGAAAATTTAGTACATTTCTAATTCTCTAAATGTTATACACAACATTGTTTTGAAAAAAAAAAAAACTTTTTTTAATAAGGCTTTTGATAGATTTTTGATTTTAAAAATTGTGAAATAATTTCAATCCTGCATTTTTCTTACTTTTTTTTATTTGTATTATTTAATATTCTATTTATTAAATTTTTTCATTAAAATAAAAATGCATGTAATATCCAAAAAAAAAAAAAAAAAAAAAAAAAAAAATTNAAAAAAAAAAAAAAAAAAAAAAAAAAACAAAAATTATACAGAAAAAAATGAATTTTTTTTTCTATAAAAAGATAAGATAATTAAGTACTATACTTGAATGGACAAATTCATAGGACAAAATTAAATAAATATGTATAAATTATTGATACAATATTTTGTTAAAATATGACGCAAAGTTTATTTCATCCATTTATGAGGGATCATATAATTCAATCAAATATATAAATATAAAATAATACTAATGTGAATATTAAAAATAGTAATATAAATAAAAACAGAAACAAAAAGCAATAAAAGGAGCTCTGAAATAGGAACTGAATACAGAAGAAAAGTGTGCATGCTCTTATGTGCATACGCTAGGCAGAAAACAGGTTTATTGTCACATGTGGCATGAAGGTATTTGCAATCATTTGCAACAGACACCATGCAGCAAGGAAGCGAAATTGTGTTCAGTGTCGTTGTTGCATTCAGTATGAAGCCACCTTTAAAGCCTAAGTTGCAAACAATTTGGGTTATAAAAATTTGACTGTATTTTATGAAAGTCTCAATTTCCTATATCTTTTAACTAGTTAGTTTAATCTTTAACTAATTAGTATGGTGACTGAGGAAATTTTTTGTTTCATGCAGTTTTTTTATGTAGTATACTGCTTTTAAGCAAATAGAATATTGCTTAATATAGTAAATGTTTGTTATGAGGACATTAAAATTGTGAATTACATGAAAATAAATTATGTGTTTTTTGTGAATCTCAAAATAATGTTACTGAACAATCTTTATAATACGTAAAATCAAACACTTAAATCTGTGGCCTTCATTATTTTATAAAGATTTTTGTATTGAGATTTTTTAAACGCTCTGACAAGTCATATATAACAAGGTTATAATAATATAATTTATAAAGGTAGCCATCTATTTTTTATAATCAATTTTGCTTATAGTTAACATCATAGTAATCTTTAAAAATGTACAGTGCACAAAATAAAAGAGGGACCACCCTGAATAACTTTTGATCTAATATTCTAGATTTTCAGGTTCTAGGACTCTATCTTAAAGATTCAAAGAGATGACTTTAAATATGTTAATAAGTGCAGACGATATTTTAAGTTACAAAATCAGGCACAAAATCGTACTTTCTCTGAATAAACATACCTTTTTTCTGACTGATTCAGATTTCTAATCCCCAAATAGTGGGGGTTAGTCACAATCTGGAAAATATGGTCCCACTAGTTTTGACCCCTTATTGTTAATTTTACTTTTTTGCGTATTTCGCCATATCTCGAAAAGTTTTTGAATGAATAAAAATTTTTTTTGCATATAGTTATAAAATTCATTTAGCCAAAGATAATTCCATGCAAAAATAACCTTTAGGGAGTAATTTCTATTTTTTATTAGCTTATTTTATAACAGTCGAAAATATTTTGAATTGCAAGGTATAGAATTTTTCATAATTTTAAAGAATGTACTTTCAGATGGCAAACTACAAATTTGAGCAAAACAGCTCTAATAGTTTCCAAGAAATTGAATTTTGAAATTGCAACTTTTTCAAAATTCGATTTCTTCAAACTATTAGACTAATTTTGCTCATAGTTTGTATTTCATTATTTAAAATTACATTATTTCAAATGTGAAAAATTGTATACCATATACAAAATTTTTTCGACTATTAAATAAAAAAATAAAAACTAATAAATATGTACTAAAAGTTATATTTTGTATGTAAATATCTCTGGCTAAATGAATTTTATAATTATGTGCAAAATGTTTTAAATTCGCTTAAAAATTTCTCATAATATGGCGAAATATATAAAAAGTAAAATGAACATTAATGGGTCCAAACTTTTCAACTCTCTCTTGACTAAACTAATGGGACCATTTCCCCCCAGATTCCAGATTTGAGGGTCAGAAATCCAAGTCCATCAATAAAGGTATGCTTATTCAGAGGAAGTGCTTTTTTGTGTCTGATTTTGTAACTAAAAGTATTGTCTGTACTAATAAATTAGCATATTTGAGGTCACCCCTCAAACTTTTAAGATAGTCCTAGAACCGGAAAATTCTATTATTAGATCAAAAAGTATTAAGAGTGGTTGGCTTTTATTTTGCTCACTGTACTTATGAAACATAACCCTCTCACAATTATCAAGCAATTTCTATTTTTGCCATATCCCTGGTTCTGTAATTATCAAAAAATTTCAAGTTTTATTATCTACAAAAAAGTGTATTTTTAAACGTGGCCTGGTGGCTAAGTGGTAGTGCTTCACTCTCCCCTGATGCAGGTCCTGGGTTCAATCCTTGAGCCCACAAGGTTGATTCAGCCTTTTATTCTTTCAGTGAGTTGATAAAATGAGTATGCTTGGGAACTAAACAGTGGGGGTTCAACGTTCAGTTGACCACTCAACCGAAACATCTGGTCTTGCACCCCAGAGCCCGAGGTCAAGAAAACTGGGATGGGCACAATAGGCTTTAGGCCCTCTTTGGGTTGCGGTGCCACTAAGTTTAGTTTAACAAATTTTTTTACTAAGTTCTGTTATATTTATCATTAATGAATGGAAATAATCTTGCTTATGATATTTTTCAATTGTTATATGAAATGTGATGATTGACATATGAAATAAAATTAATTATTGTTTTTTATTTCTACTTTTGGTGGTCTCACTCTTGAGATGTGACATTTTGAGTTGCATTCTCTGCATGACAAACAATTTTTTTTTGGTATAAGATAAGAAAATGATATATAAAAGAGAAACATTCTCTCAAATTTGCCATTTTATATGACTATCAGGGTGTTGAAACAGTTTGAGACAATATTTAGTTTAAACAGTATTGAACATTTTCAGTGTATTTCTTTGATTTCTTTTAGATTGAATATATAAAGAAACGCATCTTCACACAGCATCTTTATGAAAAAAATGAAGAATTTTCTGGTGGGATTGACTTTTATGATAGAAGTAAGTAAAATTTCTATTTCGATTATCCGTGAAAAAAGCTTTTTCCTCCAACAAATTACTTTTTTATGCAAACGCGTATATAGCATAAGTATTGCCACATATGTGAGCCATTTGATTACAAAATTGAATTTTGAATAATATATTATGACTAACTAAGGAAAAAGTAAAGAAGTTGAGTACAGAGCATCGAAAATGTATGGAAATAGTCATATGTCTCAAAAAATAAATATCCGATCAGAAATTTTCAAAATCACATAGGGTAGGGCTACTTCAAAATCTCAAATAGAATCCCGATTTAATATTATAGGTTTGGAAAATCCAGGAAAAAGTATTCTGATTTAAAATACATGTTGTTGCGTAGATTGTTTCATAAAGTGATGCTATAGTGACCTTTAAGTATAGTGTAAAAATTACTTAATTTAGAGATATCTCGAGAAATAGTTGTCACTTTGAAAAATTCCAAAACTTACTTGATATTTTGAAAAACCTATCTAATGACACCTAGCTTGGCCCACTACCTCAGCCCCTGGTGTTTAGGTGATTCTTGGGAAGTTGGACCTAGTTTGGGGAAGAAGGTCAATTTTAATGTCATAAGATAGTTTTTTCAAAATATCAAGCAAATCTATTTTAATTATCTGATCTGGCACGTATTTATCAAGATTTTTGTATTTTCAGCAATATTTTTGCCATTTCCATTTTGCAATTACTATGTCACCAATGAACCAAAGGACAACAACCTGTATGTCAAATGAGGGTACTTTTTTTGGAAAATCTAAATCCACAATAAAAATAAATTAAACTTTTAAAATTGCCACTATCCTGGGAGGGGTATGGAAGAGTCAAGTTTGGCATTATGTAACACAGTGTTTCCCAACCTTTTTTGTACCATGCCCCACCTAAGCCTTTCTAAAATTCTTATGCCCCCCTATGTAACATATACATAATTTTTAATATTAAAAAATCGAATTGTTCACTTAAGAAACTTAGGAAATTGTTAGCGAAACAAAGTAAGTAAATTTTCAGAACATATAATGAAAAACTAAAATTCAAATTCGAAATAATTTTAATAAAGATTTTTCTATAATAATTTAATATTTTAATTTAGTGAGATTCTTGCCCTTGATGCTTGCTGCACGTAGATTTTATCTTAGGTTCCAATTTGGTTAGCTTCAGTCTCAAGTCTCCCCGTTGTGTTATATCCAGACGATTTCTTTTTTTTACCAATAAAATCATTTACAGCACTAAATCCACATTCAGCTAAATATGAAGATGGAATCGGTAACAATAGTTTTCTTGCACATTTGATTGAATTTGGGTATTTGTTTTCTGTTTCCTCACGAAGCCATGCCATCACTCCTTTCATATTAAATAAAGTTTTAACTGACTCATCATTTTGCATTTCTGCAAGTTCTTCTTGATATATTTGATATATCAGACAAATCCACTAACATGGACTGCAACATCCATGTTGGAAAATAAATTTGTTTTAAATCAGAATATCTTTCTTTTAAATCAGCCGATAGAATTTTCAGATGATAGACAATAACAAGTAAAGGGGTATCATTTACTTCACATTTTTGGAGCCAATGAAACTGTTCAAAGTTTTTGTTGTTAATATATTTCTGACATAACTCAATAAGGGTAATGAAGCCAAATATCTTCGCTTTTGCATCAACAAGAGTTTTATTTGTTCCTTGAAGTTTCTTATTTAATATATTCAGTTTTTCAAAGATATTGGCTAAATAACTCACAAATGCTTTACCATCGACTGTAAACAGATACTTCATTTCAGGTTTGTCGCTTAAAAAATCCCTAAGTCACATAATATTTATTGACCGCAATTATTTAAGAATTTGCTTTTTTCTTTCGATTTTGTCACCGAAATCTCGCATTGCATTTAAATGGCCTAGAGCAAAAGGTTTAAACTCATGTCGAGTCCATTTCTGAATTGCCCCCCTTTACAATCAAATTGCCCCCCGGTGGGGCGTGGGCCCGACGTTGGGAAACACTGATGTAACACATCTTTGAAAAATAATTCATATGTATTTCTTGATACTTGATTGCTTTGCATTTCTTGAGATATTTGATTGTTTCCATGCATTTTGGAAGTCCTGTATACATTTCTTAAAAATAGATTTTGTCATGCTTCTCAAAATTCACCATTTTACATTAAGAAATAAACTATTATTAATCTGCAGATGTTACTTCTGTTGTTAGGAAATGTGTCAGAAGGCAATCCACTACTTTCTCTTTCAATTAGATTCCCTGGATTCACTTAGTTATTGTATGCTTGCCAGGATTTCATATTTTTCATGGCAGAATAGTAAATTGAGTTATTTCATAAGTGTCACAGATGTTAATTTAATAACCTATACAAACACAAGTAAAATTTGGGTATCTTTATGTATCATTCAGTACTCTTCATATAAATTAAATACTATTTATGAAAATGGTGGTTTTTATTACCTTGATTGCAGCCGTAAAATATCATTTCAGTATATACATTATATACATTAAAACTATTAAAAACATTTAAAATGTATCTGATGCAATCACAAATATAAAATGCATTTGTTTGGAAGTCATTGAATACCCTTGAAAAGGTACTCAATGACTCTGGATTAAAATTTTTCTGCTTTTTTGGGAATTTTCATGTTTTTTGATTCCTTTCCAAAAAAATGCTGCTTTATTTTCAAAAAGTTTGATTTTTTACCTAAAATTTAAATTTCTCTGCCTTTTCCTAAAATGCAGCTGTTAGGAAAAAGTAATCATTCTTTTTTCAAACTTTTAAAGATAAGCAAAAACCTCAAGCATTTTGATTACTTATAATAACTATAGCATCTTAGGTAAAGCTGTCAGACAAATTGTTAGGAGCCTGTGTCTTAAATATAGACTATGAAATATAAATATTTAGATGCTTAAAGAAAATAAACATCTTTATTACTAACTGGTAGGTATTGTATAACAGTGAATTGTACCATTGCCCAATTTTTAGGACAGCTGAAAATAAATGACCATCTAGAAGAATTTATTTTTTTTGAACTTTTCTTTATTTTTAATAATCGTATAGATAAATTGCTCCAAAACTTTATAAAGTGTTTATATTTTCACACAAAATCTTTAAAATTTAGCAGATTGAAATTGTAGCAATGAAATTCTGCAAAGACTGCAGTTTAAAATAATTTAAATATCCATCTTTAATTGAAACTTCGGTTAAAGACAAATATATTCTTGAAATACTCTCAAATATTTAATCTTCAATTAGAATTTAAGTTTTAGAATGAATTCGTGTAAGGATCACTCCTGCATTTTGTCCTAATTTTAGAACATTGGTAACAATTCAATAAACAATAAAAGTTTTACATTAAAAGTTGAAAAATTTATTGATGGGTCATTCTCTAATTTTCATTTGTATTAATGTTTTATGTAGGTTTCAATTTTTGCCTTTATTCCCAATTTATCTTTATCAGTTCAGCATGTTTAATTCTTAAAAAAGTACTCTTAATATTTCAGCTACTGCTACCTCTCTGAACCCATATATTGATTTTTGATTTGATTGAATGCTTATCACAGATAATGCTTATTTAGACCCACAAAAGAATTTTCAATATAACATGTCCTCGTAATGAATAAGGGTGAGAATTAGATTAGTAATGCTGATAGAAAATTACAATACTATAGCAGTGACAGTGAATATAGTGCAACGCTTTTGCGTGCTTTTTAACACACTCTGTCTTTTGCCTTTGATTGTACCATCATTTCTTATAATTACATAGTTTGCTCTTGTTTTGAAGTATTGGAATCACCAAATGTAAATTTTTATTTAATCAATGTTTTTGTCTTTTTTTAAACAGTTTAATTGTATGTTTTCGAACTCTGCATTGTTTCAGTTTAAAATGCGCTTTTAAACCAAAAGTATGCCTCTATTTCCTTTTGGGAGGCCAAGGCTACAACTTATTTCCTCCTCTATCTATAAAAGTAAAAAAAAGTAAAATTGTTCAATATTTATGTAAAAAATGAACATTAATTAATTTATTATTTTATTTCAGAAGACTTCTCCGTTCAAGTATGTAACATGATGGAGAAGAACTTTTCCTCAAGAAAATATAGACCGGTTCCTACATCAGCATATCCTCTTCCAAGGACTGAATTTGAAAATAGTATAGAAGACCTTCAAGAGGAAGGTTTTATCTGCTGCCACAAATTCGAGACTCCAATTTGCCGAAGATTTTTTTGTGGGAGAGTAAAAAGTAATTGCTTAAAATGACAATTTCATTAAATAGTTATAGGAGTTGACTAATGAAAAAAATGTAATGTCTAAAAATATTGCTTTTTGCTAAATGAATTTTATTTTGTAATAATCAAATCTTGTTTTGCTCTTTTAATGATGTTACTTCATGGTACTCTGATTTTTAGTTAAAGTATTTAAGATTCTTCTCTTGTATCCATAATTTTCAAATTTTTTTTACTTGTATTTCATTGACTTAAGGAGAAATGAGGTGTGCAGTTACAGACATGAAGGTAGCACTCAGGCTGTCCTAGGAGCAAAATTATTATCAAGACAGGCAAACAACTCTCTGTTGTTAAATTAAAAAATATATAATGAGTAAATTTCACTTAGCAAAACGAATTTGCAAAAAATTTAACTTTAATGTGTTTGTTTAGTTTTAAAAAATTTATTATTCATTGCTATTTAATTTTCAATCTGAATATAGTATTTTTTAATTCTTAATTGTAACTTTAAACGCTAGCAGCATCAATTCATCATATATCATTTTATTTTGTTTAATTCAAATTCAGAGATGTCAGCACAATTTTTGTTTGAGTCTGCGCAGTAGTAAGTTTCATTTTCGAACCTTTACTTTTACTTTGTTTTTCGTCACGGAGCAAATTATATCGAATTCGATGTGTTGTAGATGGTTATAATTTTCTTTTCGGGACCAGCTCCCAAAGATATTACGATGATACATTCAAAATTGTTATTTATCGATAGCTATTAGCTATATTAATTTACGAGGTGAGTCGTTTTTATGTTTTGTTGTCATTAGTTGTGCTGAACTGTCTGAAATCGTTTTCATGTTTAATTAACTAAATAATTTGCTGCTATCTTATTTTCAACTTGTTTACTGTTAAAAATTTCAATTCAAGTTTATATTTTGTGAAATCAATTAATATCCAGTATCGTTAATTGTTCAATATATTATTTGCAGAATAAAATGTTCTTAAGATTCTTAATTTGTCAGGGTTTAAATTTTACAATATATATTTTTTTTCTTTCTCTTTTTTTATTTTGGTAATTAATTTTACCTGGTCCGTCGTTTTACAATTTACAACTATACA